AATCCAAACCCAAACAAGTAGTTGTTCTTGTAATAACTGCTGAATGTTTTTTCTTGTGTATGAGGAGATAAATGCATAAATTTATTTTTCATAATACATTGCAGAAAAAAAGGTGCTTGTTTCTTGAAAATTTTGTGGAAAACCCAGTTGTGATGCAATTTTTAAACTATCTTGACAAAAACACATCCTTCACCCCAAACCCCTAACAGTCCCCAGATTTTCATTGTTTTGAGTGAGATCAGTCAGTCATTCATGCATTTAAAGAGGTTCTAAGGATACTTTTGTATGTACTTAAGATGTTTCCAAAGGTTCCCTTTTTCTGACACCTCATAAACCACCCAACGAACCAGATCCAAGAATTGCCAGCATTTTAAAACGCAAGGATCCTTTCATGTATAAGGCAGGATTATTTTTTGTCTAGTGAGTACAATATTTATGTGTGTATATCTTTTTAAAGCCATTCCAGATGGGAATTACTTCCGGGCAATTTTTGGAAGGATGTACAAAACACACAATGCATGGCCACTAAGAAATCTGTAGGTGTTTCCTTCTTAAGTCTAAATTTCTCCACATTGATCAAGCTCAGCTGGGGTGTGCTGCGGTGAACACCTCAGACTGACCAAGGCACCACCCTATTTTTGGCAAGTGTTGCATTTTTTTTTTCCAATTCTGTGGTTCTGTTTGCTCCCTTTGATTCCTTCCACCACTCCATCAGTGGATTTTCTATTGCCTTACTTGAATTTGCTACCTGCTATTACTTCTTTCAGCTACATCTGCTTCCCCTTACCCTTTATATGTCCGCTGAAACTTTGTGATCTTCTGTACAAATCTTCCCATCCCCCTTCTCTGATTTGCTATTTCTGAACATTGTTTTAGATCATCTTGCTCACATCCAGCATGAAATGAGTTCTGTTGGCAGAAAGACACAGCAGCTTTACTGAATGTGCTCAAGTTGCCTGAGATTACGTGATAAAAAAGAAATTGCAATTTCTGATAGGTAATGCTTTCAGATGTTAAGCCTGGGACAGCCAAGGGGCAGAAAAGTCCTTACTAAAGGCAGATTCCCTCCTATTTATCAGTAGCCTGAAACACCTTTTTTTTTATATACCAAATGAACCTTACTTGCTTTTACCACAGTTTCAGTGCAATTTGGCACTGTCTTCCTTGCACAAAAAAAACCCCAAAAACATAAACAGAAGAAAGGCTTTATTTATTTGTTTTCATTTAGAAGATAAAAATTCGTCATGCTGCACAGAAAAATCCTTTATGCTATAGAGTTACAGGCAGGGAAAGACAATGAAGTATATCTTATTATATTCAGTGTTTGTTTTTACATTGAAAGCTATTACTATCTCTTCCTTTGCTGGCAAAAACAAGGTAAAAATGCTTTATTAAAAAAATTATATACTTCTAGCATAGAGTTTTAAAATTACCTCTACAAAGGAGACTTTCAGTCAATCCATATAGGCAACTGGAAATTTGTTTGAATGCAAGCAGCTAATTGTCACAGCAATTTACATGGGGACAGGTTTAATGTAAATCTAGAAACTGTTTAGTTCTGTTTTATAAATGTTGGACATGAGGAATGAAAAAATTCTATAGTAAATGGAGATTAAAATCAAAAGCAAAACGCTTATGGCATTTTTCTTTAGAATTCTAGAGTCAGTTATCTAATGAACTGGTGTTTTGATGAGATGTGGCGCTTTAATTCCCTTTAAAAACAAACAAAAAAAAAAACAACCTAAGCTGATCTTTTGTCACTCTTCAAGCACTAACAATTATTAGTGATAAGTTAATACTCCTATTGACATCAATGGGAGGAAGAAGTGTGAGGAAATATTAAGACTGTAGGCAAATAAATGTCTTGTATAATTATTCTATTCTTAGCATCTTGCATTGCAGTAAGTAGCTTAAGATTTTCAATGCTAATATGTCATATAACTTCCATCATAAAGCTGCCTTCATCTGAAGCCATCTGATAATGACATTTACCCCCCCTGTTTAGCAAGGAACAGTGGAAGCCACTTGCTGTAAAATGTCTGAGGTCAACTGGTTTCTTTTTACTCATAAAGTGTAGCTCTTGCACAGATGGTTGAGAGGGTGCAAAATATTATAGTTATGCCATGTTTAATTGTTTCTGTATGCCTTGGAATTTAAAGAAAATTTCGGATGTATGGCAGCAGCTTTCCCTGTATAGTCAGGTTGCTATGGTAAACCTATTATTCTGTGCAAGGGGGTATGTTTAGTAAAGTGCTGATCCCTTTTCAGTATAATGTGAGCTTCAAATTACTTTCAAATGATTGAATTTGTTTGGTAAGTATTTTATCACAATAGCTATGAGAAGATCAGAGAATAAGGTGTGGCTTCTGATATTTCAGCAGCAGATACAAACTATATAGTTGGCTGTTCAGAAGCAATAGGACTTTAATTCTTTGTTAAATTATCTCCTTAGAGTGAGCTCTATTTACATAATCTAACTAAAATCTCACTACTTTTGGAGGCAAAATATTTTAATAGCCACTACAAATTGGCAGTTATTTAGTGACATCATTAAATTTATTTTTCATGCTGATCTTGTAACATTTGTAAAAGTAAAGGAATTAATAATTTGAGTATCAATTTCAGCAGCAGTGCAATAAACTACTATAGTAATATTTTTGAATATTTAAAAATAAAGAAATAGCTCAAAGAAATCCGTTTCCAGGGCACTTGCTGAGTGAAGTTTCTGTCTATTTTTAAGACACTTTCAGTTCTGATGAGGTCTGCAGCCAGATGATCTAAACCATATTTAGGTGGAATTTAGGTGAGAGCCAGGCAAAAAAAAAAAAAACAACAAAAAAAACCACCCCACAAAACAACAACAACAACAAAAACAAATCACAGATTAAGAAAGTAGGTCCTAAAATCCCTTTGATCTTGTATCTCTTACATGACAAAAATGTGCTCGATCTGTCGAGGGATGGGCTTCCCTCCATTTTTCTGCTGGTGAAACTGTTGCACATTAACTAAAATGAATAAATATTACTTGCAACAGGGACTGAAAGGAGCCTGTTCCCACTGCAGCACAAGGGACCAGCCACTGGACTCTGACTTATTAAATTAAGCATTACAGAAGATAATGCTTAGTTACAGAACATGCAATATCCTTATTACAGGACCTTCCTTTGCTCATTTCTCTCAAGGATTTTCCATCTCTAAAGACTCCTCTAGTCAAAGCAGTTTGCTTAAATGATTTTACCATCTTCAGGCATCCTTATTATAGCAATGGCTGGCCAGAATACCACTGCTGAAGATTCTTCTTTTGTTTATGTCACAATCTCCACAACAGATGGGTCCTGTTTATCAGGTGCCTCTCAGCCCACAGGTTCCTGACTGTTTCTTGGGACAGGCTGATGTGGCACTTTTGCAAAAGTGTTCAGGTTGCCTAAGGTGAATGCATAAAAAGAGACAAATAAGACTCAATAAAATTTTCTGTATGTTTATGCACTAAGGATTTTTTTCCCGTCTTTTAATGTGGCCGTCCTTGACAAATAATTAAAGCTTAGAGAATTCAGGCCAATAGCATAATTTTTTCTGTAGACAATCATATCTTAAATTTTGACATGATTACTAAGCACAATTCTATTTCATGGTGCAGTAGATGCACTTCTGATAAAAAGTTTCTTTCTGAAACAAGTATCCTCATATAATTGACAATGAAACGTAGTTTTTAAACTATGCAGATAATAAAGGTATTAAGAAGTATTTACTCTAATTCTCTTTTGTATGTCTTTGCTAAAATTCTTGCCCTTTATGTCCTTCTAGATTGAATCCTGGTGCATAAAATGTCAGGTCAGAAGTGCAATGTATGTTGAGGCTTGGGAAGACGAAGAGTATAGAAGTTATAAAATGAGTTTAGAAATTTTTTTCCATAAGTAAAAAGATCTCTCCCTATTCCAACTTAATCAGAGTGTTTTCTTTAAAAAAGGAAAAAAAAAAGCCAAACAAAAAAATAAATCCAAAGCCCCACAAACAAATATAAAAAATTAAGATTAAAAGTTGGGAAAGTAAGTAATCATTTATCAGTACCTTACCCTAAAGGGTTTTATTGTCATGACACCTACAGTTAGAAAACCTTTACTGAGGTTTTTGTTAACAGTCTTTTCCTGTTCAATAAAATATTTCAGCAAATGCTGGAATAAATTAGTGCAGTCTGTTGTGAACTGTCTGGTTGTATAACAAAAGGCTGCACTTGGATGGTATTTTTTACTTTCTAGCAATACTATAAATTTGGGGGTTGCATTCAGTAGAGCAGTGATATCCAGGACTGTCCTGGATATTAATTTTTTCCTCATCTGGCCATTTAGTACTCACTGCTCTTAGGGTTTTGGAGTGAAGATCTGTGGGAGCTTGGATAAATCTGTTGTGCCCTTAAGCTCTGGGGAGCTCTCCTGTAAATAGATTGATGGAAGGGGAGACTGTGGCAGAGGTTGTGCTTATTTCCTCAGATCTAGACAAGAAAAATTACAGGGATTTTGCTTTCAAAAAGCTTGACAGAGTATTTGAAGAATTATTTTTCTACATGAATAGAGAGTATCTTAGATAGCTCTGTGCATAGACTTCAATTCTGATCACATTTGTCTTGGTGTTTCTGAGATATGTGCTAAATATTTTAGATCAACTATAGAGGTTAATTATGCAGATAAGCACAGGCCAGCACAGTTATGCTAAGTTCAGATGTGAAAAACATGCAATGCCAGTGATTGCTTATTGTTGCCATTTCCACTAAGATTATAACAGTGATACACTTTCCATCTGGTTGCCATGGAGGAGAAATAGTCTTGTTTTGCTATGCTTTTGTTTGTTTGTTTGTTTTTAATTGTGTTTATGAGCTATATTTTAATTAATGCAGTGTGACTTGTAGTTTGTCTTAGGGGTTAGGATGCAGCATAAACTTGGGGTTTATTAAATTTATTTTTCTTTACTGAAATCATGACTCTAACAATTATTTATTCTTACAGGGAGATGTGAATGTGGCCAATGCACTTGTTTCCCTCCAGGAGACAACAGAGTTCATGGCAAAAACTGTGAATGTGATGATCGACAGTGTGAAAATGCAGATGGCGATGTCTGTGGGGGTATGTGTTCACTTAATATCACATAACACAGCAGAATTTAACAGCATAACAGAACTAAATTTTGACAGTATATAGCTTTTTGTTCCCCTTGATTTTATAGTAATGTCAGCATAGACTATTTACATCATTGATTGATAATAATATGGCAGATTTTTGTTAGAAACAAGTACTAGAAGTATTGAACATGTTCGAGAATATTTATTTTAAGACTTCAGGAATGCTAGCATATAAATGGAAGTGCTGTAGTATATCCTAAGTTCCATCAGAATTCATTAAAGAATACAGAGTCTTAAACAAAAACCTAAAACATTAGGTAATCTTACGTTGTGTTTAGTTGTGGTGCTTCATTGAGGGGTGTTGTAATAAACCTAAAGGTACTAATGACCAGCAAAACTTTTAAATCAACTGACAGTGATATGCCTGTTTTCTAAAAATGTAGCAAAATACGTTATGAAAGAATGTAAAATGCTTGATAGACAGTGTCATAGTAATTGTAGATGCAGATGGTTTATTTTAGTGTTGACAGTGAAAGCCTTACATTGTGATATTTCAGTAAAGTATGTTGGTGTTTAGCAGTACTTCAAGGTAGTTTTGGATATGTAAGTGCATGCATACCACATGGTATTTTATAAGCAGGCAAATAATATTTATCATTTATGCTCTGTTTCTAGGTTGTATGTGCTTCGTTTTTAAAATGACTCTTTGATTCTAAATGTTAACAAAGTTGTTGGTATGAACAATGGCACATTGTATTGTGTTCCTTATTTCTATGTAGGAAAAAGAATTTTTTGCTTCATGTTCCTCATGTACATGGAAAATTCTGACTACAGGGAATATTTGCTCAAGGTGTCTGCCATGCAGAATATAGACATATATAGAAAATTTTGGTTTGAATGTCTAACCAGCCATAAAAATAGTTTACAGCATTCAGAGTAATTCAATAATATGAGTGCATAGAAAAAAGAATAAATTTAATTTTGCATAATAGACATTGAAAAAAGCACTGATAATCGGTTTCATATTTGTTATATATTAAATAGTTGGGACATAAATTTCATCGTCATCCATGCTAAAAATATCTCTTCTGTTTATATTACTCATGTTTTACATTATTACATCTCCCTCTCTTTCTTTTGGGTATGTCTGTGCTTCTGTCTGAGCCTGAACTTCCTGAAATACCTCACTGAACTGCTTATTCTTTTATATTTCCTTGTCCTCTTTTCACAGCTATTTTTCTACCACTGTTGCTGCCTAGGCAATCACAGTAAGGACATAAGCCCTTGCTAGTAAATCTGTCTTCAGAGCATTATAAGCTGGACTGTGTGGGGTCTGACAGTGAGCACTGGGTGCCTGTAAGCACAAAGAAGGAAGACCAGTGTTTTCAGGTTAAATGCATGCTGAAATGAGAAATGTGAATGACAACCTAAATAATTTGAATAAGAATTGTTACTGGCCTTCTCCAGCCAGCAGAGACTGATTAATAGCTTGCTTTGCAGACCAGCTGTCCATGCAACGATAGAAAGACACGAGGTGAAAGCTATGATAAATTAGGGTACAACTGAATGAGATGCCATGGCCATGTTTCTGCATGATTGTAGTGAGTCATTCGCTTAAAAATTCAGCTGTCCATCAATGCAGTACCAAGAATAGAGACTTAATGTCTCTGCAAAGACAGAGGTTGCAGGAGGACTCAGCATAGATTTCACAGCACTCTGCTATTAGAAATTGATTCATATAATTATGGAATCACAAAACAGTTTGGGTTGAAGGGGACCTTTAAAGGTCGTCTAGTCCAACCACCCCTGACATGGGTGGGGAACCTTTCACTAAGGCCAGGCTGCTCAGAGCCCCATCCAACCTGGCCTTAAACATTTTCAGGGGTGGGGAATCCACAGCTCTTGGCAACCTGTTGCAAGTCTCAACAACCTAATCATAAAAAAAAAATCTCTTCCTTATGTCCCATCTGAATCTGTTATCTTTCAGTTTAAAACCATTACCCCTTGTTCTGTCACTACAGACCTTGGTAAAAAAATCTCTCTCGGTCTTTCTTATACTCCCGCTTTATAACACTGGAAGGTCACAGTAAGGTCTCGCCAGAGCCTTCTCTTTTCCAGGCTAAAAAACCTCAATGCTCTCACCCATTCCTCATAAGAGGGATGCTCCATCCCTCTGATCATTTTTGGGGATAGTCTCTGAACCTGCTCCAACAGACTTCCTTGTACTAGAGACCACAGAGCTGGACACAGTACACCAGGTGGGTCTCAGCAGAGTGGAGCAGAGGGGGAGATTCACCTTCCTTGACCTATTTTCCAGGTCTTTCCTTCATGTTCCTTTTTCTGTGCCTCTGTACATAGACTTAATATGCTAAGACTAGAGAAAGTGTCTCTTGCAGCCATTTTGAGATGGATGTATTCTACCTAATGGCCCTTTCCCTACTGTTCATGTTTTTTGATTACGTACGATTTTCCCAGGTGTTCTTCAGTGTTGATCCACTGAAGTATTCAACATTGCATTCCCTTTGGCTTCGCTAGGTTCTTTGAGTCTTTCATGAAGTGGTTTTGGTGCGCACACATGACCAGGGAATCACATGTTTGCCAGCACAAGTCTTTGGCAATGCTGTGTTGCTTTTTTACACCAGGATTGATATTTACTCATCCTGTAACCTGGTGAGACATACTTCTCTCTGCCCTCTGAGGTTATGGCTGAGCTGCTTGCTGCAGATACGTCCTAAGGTTTCAAGCAGTATTTGTTTCCTTTCTGTGTCCACTCATGTTTTACAGGGATTTCATCATTGGCTGCTCCATCTTACTGGGCCAACTGTTTGTTACAATTTTTTTCTCCTTCAGGGTTGAGGGCAAGCAGACAGGAACTCAGAACAGTAAAGATCAATTTGAAATGGATTTGATAATGCTCTTAATTCCATTCACTTCAGTTTGTTCTCTGGGTGATTATTGGCCTAGCTATGAGTTCTTGTCACAGCCAAGTAGCAGCCATTAAAGGAATAAAACAAAATATTTGGGGTCCTCTGCATACCACAAGTTGCTGTAGAATTATGCTGATTAAAAACTCTGCAATGAAACTAAACCAAACAAAAATAGTAAAAAATTGATTAAAACTAGGATCATTAGCAAAGGCTTAAACTTGTAACAGGTAACTCATAACAAGACTCTTATGTATTTCTATGGATGTACCCATTTTTTATTACATCAATATATTATTCCGTGCTTCAAATAGTGGGCCATCAATAAGAACATTAGCTTTAATAAGGTCTTTTAATGGTTATTCATAAATGTTTGCACTGTCTTTAACACTTTAGAAAAAACTAAGACTGGTCATTCCAGTAAACCTGTTCTTTATCACTTATGACAGTAGAATACTTTAAGTCTGATTTCTTTATTTTCAAGTGAACAATTCCATTTTGATGACTTTTTCACTAATTGTTTTGGCCAGAGCACATAAAAATAAAATGCAATCCTAACACTGTCAGAAATCTAATTGTGTCATGCCACATCAAAGAGTAAGTGCAGATTATCTTTTTTGTTTGTTAATATCAATCCCTTTAATTATCATTAGTTTGAAATTCTGGTTATACTAAAAAGGCTTCTAGAAGTGGAGGAGTTGACTTATTCTTGGAACAAGTACTGGGGTAATTTTTATTTCCCTCCTTACTCAGATTTGCCTTCACAACTCTCTCTCTCTTCTCTAAGCATAAGAAAACAGTGCAGCAAAAACCCTGCTTGAGATTTTATGGGAAGGGAAGTTAGTATTTTAGGAAATCCACTAGTAAATTAATTTTCACCACACAGACACATCTTTTGTTGATTTCATCTGCTTGCATTCTTATGCCCAAATACAAGCATCAAAGTGTCTGCACATAATAGTTTGGTCAGGGTTCCTTGTGTGCGACACAGAACATGGACAAGAGATGCCACCCATCAAGTTTTCGGTAGGTCTTTTTATGTCTTCTCAACTGACAATAACAAACTGGTCTTTAAATACATCTTTTGTATATTCAGGACCTAAAAGTTAGGGTGATCCTTTTGACTCAGAGTTTTCTTACTTTTATCTCTGTAAACTTGAGGCAAGTCTGGTGCCTGTTGTCTGTGCTTCCTGATTTTTGACATTCTTAGTTCTTGACATTCTTAGTTTCTGACATGCTGTTATTGTTGGGGTTATGAAGAATGACAGAAGTTATGTTTTGTGGCTGCATTGACGTCTTTTGTTGTTGAGCGCACACACTTCTGCCAACATGTCATCATGACATTCATCATATTGTTACTTTGTGAGAGTGTAGACCTTCTGATTTTGACAAAATAATACATTCCTTAGTTTACTCCTGTGAATGTGTTGTTGGTTATTAGTGCAGGTTATTTGGCCTCATTCTGGGATTTCTTCTGGCACTTACTTACACATTGTCATCCATGCATCATTTGCACCAGTATTAAGATTTCCAGCATTATTCTCTATGAATTGCCAGTGAACAAGGGAAAATATAGAGTTTATAAGGCATCCATATACCTTAAGCCACAATTCCCATTTTACCAATGATTTAAACTTTTAAAACTGAAACATAAACTTCCATATCACATCCTTACAGTGATGGATTCTAGGATTCCACAGTCATCACCAGGATGCACAATGGTAAATCTCCCTCTCAAAGTCTGCCCCTAATTGCCCCTAATTGCCATGCTCCTTTGAATATAAAATTTTCCTTACTATCCAGCCCGGCTAAATAATTGGATTCAAAGGAAGGTCTGCCTTTTTTGCTTTTTTTTTTTTTTTTTTTTTTTTTTTTTTTTTTTTTAATATAAGATATACAACAGGAAATGTAAAATCTTTCTTTTTATGGAAGTTCTAGGTCCTTGCTGCACAAATCATGAATGACATTTATTTTTTTCATCTGTTCTGTGGAGCAGAAGCATGATATTTTCAGATAACATGTTCTTATGAGGACCAATAAGACCATAACCATAGAAATGAGAGAGCTATGATTAATGATA